CGAACAAGGCGTTGGCATTCATCCTGCTACCTGCAAAGAACGACAGCAAAAAGTTGAAATGTTAGAACCGAGGGGTCAGAGACACGACAACAAACATAACAAAAAATCTCTAAGTACGAAAATGCAAAGCCCCCGGCCACTACCTCTTGCTCCCACGAAGGCTTTATCGTAGAGAGGATACTTCTCATCGGTCTCCCCAATGAACCGATACCTCAGGAATCCGAGGGCATACAGGTCTTCCTCGAGGGTGCACTCCTTGATGGTTACGTTCTTTGTCCGACCCTCGGGAATCTTGGCAATCTTCAGACCATCCTTCTCGAGGGCGGCACTCTTGACCTTCACATGGCGCCGAAAGCAATTCCGCAACTCCCTCGGGAAAGGGCTGTCGGCCAGTCTGATGTAGCACCATCGCTCTCTCCACCCCTTGTTGGAAGAAGGGGCCTCGGTGAACAGTTTGAACTGGGCTATCTGCTATAAGTTCGCATAGCCCTCGGCATTGGTGTGGCCCCCCCGGCATAGGTTGAAGCTTTGGAAGAATAACTCCAAGCTCGGTGTAACCCCCCAGAGTGTGCACAGGTTCACAAACCCAGCTATGTATGAATGGCTGTTGGGGGTCAATTGGCAGGGAACCAGGCCAGTGTACCTGAGGTACTCCCGAAGGAACGGATGGAGAGGGAATCGGAGGCCCATTGAAACCGAGAGCACGTGCACGGCTATGCATCCCTCGGGAGGCCGGGATAGCACGTCATCAGGACCCGGCTCGACTACTACGGCCGAGGGCCCTACGTGCAATTGGGTGATGTAGATGTCTGCCCTGTCAGCTTGGGACTTAATCTCCAGAGCGGCGGTGTCCAGGAAGGAGTAACCCTCTGGTAGATCAACTGGCCCCCCTTGATCGACGGCCCTTACTTTCTTCTGGGGGCCAGCCCTCGTCTTCCTCTTCTTCTTCCCGGGGGCCACCCGGATGGGAACTGCATTCAGCGGCTGGGAAGTACTGGCCTCACCAGCACCCCGAGGGGGAAGGACGGCCACAGTGACCTTCGCCCTCTCCTTCTCCTCTTCCTCCTCAGCAATCTGGACGGCGAGGGCCAACTCCTCATCTTCCGCGGTCCGCTCGAATTCCTCCGCCTCGGCCTCGGCCGTCAGATCCTTCTGCACTTCAGTGGCGAGGGCTACGTCACCACCATCCGAGGGCTGACTACTGCTGGACTCCACGTCGGAGATGCCTTCGTCCTCCATCGAGGGCGTCCTCGAGATGTCCTGAGAGTCACTCTGGGACGACATTCTAAACTCTAGCTCGAGGGTTCGGGGGAACTAAGGTTTCTAGTGAATTCTATCTCCTAACCCGAGGGCACAACGTACAACTATACTAGAAGGAGAAAGGCAGGGAGCACTGACCTCGAAAGCTGAGTTAGGACCGAAGGCTTGAGTTTCTCTCACTAGATTTTTTGGCAGAGCTTCGCTAAGACAACTGATCGCACAAAAGGAAATGGACCTGGCCTTGGGGTATTTATAGGCGATGGAATCCGGGCTTGGGCCTGGATTCCGGGCCTCCGGACGGACCGCCATCATTACACGCCGCATCTTCACCCAACCCGTGATGCCGCCCACGGACAGCCAGCCATCACACGCCACGTGTGCCACCCCCCCAACGGCTATATCCTGTCGTTACATATTCCAACGGCTATATTTCCAACGGCTATATTCTGGAAGCCCCCGGGTTTTCTACTTCACTCCACTTCATCAAGGATAGCCTCCGGGTGCACTCACCCAGAAGTGCCCCCGGGTTGTGCCCCACACAGCACATTACACACGCCTTCGGGATCACTCCTTCAGATCCCTAGGGCTGCATATCAGGGCACCCCCCGGGGTTTCCCCCTCAGCACTACAAAACCGGGTGGCCCCCGAGGAGTGCCTCATTGACGGATGGCCCATGGCCCTCGGGTATCTTCATCACCAACTCATCAACAAACAGTGGACACCCCGGTAACAACTTCATTGCTGCCCTCATCTGGCAGGCCCTCGATCCCTGGATTGAGGGGCTCCCCTTCGGCACCACCAGGACATCAACAGCAAGCCTTCGGCTAATCAACACAGGAGCCCTCAGAAGAGAGAGCCCTCGGCATTCCCGCCATTCTCCATTTTTTACCAAGGTTTGACATTTTCGATTCATCATTGGGGGAATTCGGTGCACTCTTTTTCCCTCGTTAGGATTTTTTTCCCAAAGGGTTTTTCCTAATGAGGTTTTTAACGAGGCATCCCCCCAAAATGAAACGAAAAGCGTCAGCCTTCGGCCCACAACAGCAACGTAACTACTTTACTCCTTTTCACCACTTTACAAGTGCCTCAAGGAGTGGGGGACTGGAGGACCCCCTCGGGAAAATCATTAAATTACAAAATCTGTGAAATTCCAACAAACAACAAAGCAAGCCCTCAAGTCCCGACATGTGGGTAACTGAGGGACTGCCTTCGGCAGGGACATAGAAGCAACGACTCATCACCAACTTCAGAGGTCACGACGGGACAAACATCAAAGGGCAAGCACAAATTACTCCTTTTCCCTCAAGTACCTTTCGGCAAAAGGAGTGAGGGACTCCTGATGGAGTATATGGCCCGGGAACCCCCGGCCCACAGACTCCTACTACTCCAGCAAAGGCCCAACAGGCCCAAAAGGCCCAACAGGCCCAAATCACAGCGCCCAGAGTACCAAGCAGCCCGCACAACGCGCCAGGGGTGCCTTCGGCACCCTGGCCGAAGGCTCCAAATTCTCACAGAGCGGGTCCCTCAAGCAAATTAAGAAACTGGGAGAAAACGGCGAAAACAGTAGCCCTCGGCACTGTGAGCCCTCGGCACCAGGGGTGCCATCGGGTGGAAGAGCCCTCGGCTACTGCTTTATAGCCGAAGGCATCTCACTCGACAAGATATCCGCCTCACATGCGTACAGATCACCGTACCCCGCACAGACGTCCCATCCAACAGCCGCATTAAATGCGGCCACATGCGGCTGCCAGCGCCAACCAGTTGAGGTGACCCCTCGGCCAATGAGCGCTTGACACGTGTCCCTGCCCGGCATTTATTGCTACTATAAATAGCACCCCATTCCTCATTTGTAACCACGCTTAATACATATCGAATATACACTCTCTCTCTTACTTGTTTGCTCTGACTTCTCTCTAGTTATTCCCCGTAATAACCCTTCGGATATATACCCCCGGGTAGACTATCCATCAATTGCTACTATGGATGTTTTTACTTGGACTGTAATTTGTTTCGCTGATCTGTTCTGGTCTGGTCTGAAGTGATTTGGTCCGATAAACGTTTGGTCTCTGTGTATTTTATAACTACGAAAATCATGGTCTGATCTGATTTGGTCTGTTTAAGTTTGATCTGATCTGGTTTGGTCTGGTCTGGTCTGTTTAAGTCTGTCTGATCTGGTTTGTTTAAGTCTGGTCTGGTCTGGTCTGATCTGAGACTGAAAATAGTCCAAGTAAAAACATCCTACGTTTTGAATAGACAAAATTAGGACTGACTTTTATTTTGAACAAAAAAGAAACTAATTACTCTCTCCGTTCATATTTTATCTTCCAAATAGGTTTGACACACAATTTAAGATAGTGAGTATTGTGTGGTGGAGAGTTGTGCAGAAGAGAGAGAAATGTATAAGAAACGTTGTGAACCTCAAATTCTTTACTAAAAAGGGAAAGTGGAAGTTTTAATTGGAACGGACAAAAAAGGAAAATTGAAAGTTTTAATAGGAACGGATGGAATATATATCATGGTAAATGAATACTGGAGTACTTTTTATATAAATATTATAGAAAGCCCCTAATCTCCTCCGCCTTCGCTTCTCTCCTATTAGTCACTGGAAATTTGGGATATAAGCATATTTTTGTCCTTGGATTTTCTTTTAGTATTACTCCGTATATTTTTGACAAAATTGGAGAAGAAAAATTAGCACCCCAGTCTTGCAAGAATGGACTAAAAGGGCAACCTACCTTAGCTAGCTTTAATAATTAGGAGGCCGTTTCATAATACTCAAATCCGCTAATTCTGCTAAAATTTATCAAATTCAGGCCGAATTGGTTGTATTGGTTGATTCTGCTGATTTATAAAAAAATTGTATCTAAAATATATTTTATTTAATAAAATAAAGAAAAAATTATACTACATATGAAAAAGTAGCTAAAATGAGCATCTACAGTAACTTCGGTCAATACAACCAGAAAAGTAACTTTAACCATACTTTTTCTTATTACAACACAATTCACCGCGTGGAATCAAAAGTTAAGTGTGTGGTTAAAAAGTTGGCTGATAAGCCATTATTAAATAATCAAACGCCATATAGGTATAAAATAAGTAGATCTATTTGTGTATTGGATAGTAAATGAGTGGAGCTTCAATATTGTAAACTACATAAGTTCACAATATTTAAGAAGGAACCGTAGAAACTACTAATTCTCACTAGTTATTTATCAAGTTTTATTTTCTTTATTATCTTTTTTATTGACACATAGGAATTGAGACTATCTTGTGTATTTCTTATTTTTGTTTGGTAGATGAGACTATCTTATGTATTTTTATTTTTGTTTGGTAGTCAGTTTCTGATTAAATAAAAAAATGAAAAAGTTGTGATTGGGAATACAACCTCAAAAGAATTCTTTATTTTATATATTTGAGAAATCCGGTTCCATATTGTTTTAATAAATAATTGAGAACATATTATCTATATATACTCTAAATATAAGCTATACGCCTATACTAATATACTTAAATGATAAATAATACTACGTATTAGCTAGTAAATAATGAAATACTAAATTAATCTGATTTTTTTAGTATTACGAGACCACAATATAAAGGGTTATATAGCTCAGGAATGTCAAACCAAAATACGTTTTAAACATATTTTATTGGGACTTATTCGGTGACTCAGCCAACAAATCCGTAATAGGCCTTATATATGTGACCCGAAGTGAGTGGTACCTTGTTTTTTTGCCACCACTCGGTGATACCTTGTTTTTTCTAGTTAAATTCCTAAAAAATACTCCATATAAAGCTCCTCTGCGTTGTCCTCAGATGCACGCCATTTTTGAGCTTTCAGCTTCATCTCGTGTCTTCTTCTTAACCACTGTCCCCACCGGTAAGTACTCGTAATCTTCTTTACTAAATCATACGCGTATACCAGCCCATGGATATAAATGTGTATACTCATCTCTGTGATCTGTTCATACATGTGACTGCATGCATACGGCATATCTATGACATATCCTTCAGGCATTGCTACTTTAGCCTTTAGTAGCGGCGGCCGCGCTAAAAGCATTCGAGGTACTCTCTCTCGCTCTAGAGACACCTTTATGTATGTATGTATGTATGTCACGTAGCTTCGTGAGGTGTGCCAGTCCCTGCGCGCCGTTGGATTTGAAAATTTCACGACTCATCGATTGCTCCGGTAAGGTAATTGCAATTGATTTGAGTCCTTTCCTTAGAATGTATTTATTTATTTGCGTTTGAGTTCCATAAAAATTTGTAGTTAAGCTGATGGATTTCGTTTCAATTAGTCCACTGCCAAGTGGACTAACGGGGTTCGTGATACATCATATATTGCTACTGTAATACAATCTTCTTCCGAAGCTAATTGGCTGAGGTAAATGTTCGGAACTATAAAATACTACGATTTTGTTTTAAGAAATATTCATGCACAGTGATTGATCTGGTCTTACTAAGCTACTGAAGGTTTTTTAGCTTAATCGTGATTAAAGCTGTTTCAAAATCTATAATCTATCAACTTTATCAGTTTTATAGAAAATTTCAGTGGATTGATTGATCCAGTAACCACTTGAAAAGGAGACGGTTGTTTAGTTTAATATGAAATGATCTGTGTATTTCCTTTACTATTGGAATAAAACCACAATTTCGACTATTCATATGCAATTTATCTCAGATCTCAAAAGGGTGAAAGGCTGCACAATAGAGGTGAGTCCTAGACAACTCGAATATCATGTGTGAACAATCACGAAGATGAAGTTCGGGAAGGATTTTAAGAAACAGCAGGTGCCAGAGTGGATAGAAGCCTATGTGGACTATAATGGACTCAAAAGGATATTACAAGACATTTGCCATATAAAAAAACTCAAGCAGCCTCCAACTCCAGTACAGCAGAAGCTTCCATTCTACAGGGCCTTAGGCGGTCTAAACCAGGAAAGTAGTGCTGAGAATAGTGGAGATGTTGAGGATCAAGTTATATCTGTAGATACCGTTCAAGAAGAAAACTCCATAGAGTTGTACTTTTCCAAGTATCTGAAGTCTGCTGAAGGAGGAGGCCAGAACGAGATTACATTTTTTAAGAAACTTGACAGTGAGCTTAACAAGGTCAATGCCTTTTACAGGAAAAAGGTTGAAGAAGTGAAAAATGAAGCAGCACTGCTGAACCAACAAATGGATGCTTTGCTTGCGTTGCGGATCAAGGTGATGAATCCAGATTTTGATGCATCTGCTTCTCTACAGCGGCTTTCTGTAGATATTAACAATTCAATCCCCTCAAGAGTTAGTTCCAGAACCCGAGCTACCAATTTGGGTGAGTTACGAGGCATTGCATTTCACCATCTTCACTTTCTTCACTTCCAAGCTGTTGAAACTGATAAAACATACCATTCCATAATAATCTTCATTCCACAAGAATTAGAACTTATCTCCAAAAGTTTAAATTTATATCCATATAAATGAATATATGTTTTTATGAAGAAAGTTTAATAACATCAACTCATAGAACAAATAATAGGGAATTTATAAAATCAATAAATGGTTGCAGGGGGGTCTCCGGTGTGTATCTTTACAAAGGGCGATGTATTTTTCATTAAAGTTCAGATGAACTATTGGATGCCAAGGCACTCCCTCATGAATTTTAGCTAGTGAATTTGTGGATTGTGAATTGCAACCCTTATTTTATGTGTAACATATGGCATATCTACAGGCTTGAAATCTAGAACCAAAAAATGTATCTTCAATTGGTGACACTACTTACTGTTCACTACAGATACAGAGCATATAGCTTTGGCCCCAAGGGTGGATCATAGTCCAGAAAGGTTGTCCACTAATCATGCTGAGTACAGTTCTGCTTTAGCAAGGAACACAGATTTAGACAATAAAGAAACAGATCCCATGGAAATCCTTGATCATGTAAAGATTGTGAATACATGCGAAAGTCCCATGTCTACAATACGAGGGGTTCTGAGAGATTCCAAAGAAAACAATTTGAGGTTCAAGAAAGAGGAACTAAAGAAGGTTGATCTAAGGTTGAAAATGGCCTTTATTGAGTTCTATCGAAAGCTCCGCCTCGTAAAGAACTTCAGGTAATAAACATTAACTGTCTGAGAAGATTAAAAATGTTTCGTCTGGTTGGTTTTGTTCCTCATTTTGTGTTGAATTGTGACTATTTGCGGACTGACTGACAGCTATACGAACCTGTCAGCCTTCTCCAAGATCCTGAAGAAGTATGAAAAGGTGATAGGATATATTAAATTTTTTGTACTCTGTGTGACGTTGCTATTTCATTGTATTTATTAAATGTTAAATATGCATCCAGGAATGGTCCAGGGCTTGAGCTATTTATACTTTTATTCTATAAAAAATTACAATATACTAGTACTAAACTTTCGTATCATTGTATGTAAATGTAGATTACATCAAGAAGAGCTGCACGGTCATACATGAGAATGGTGGAGAACTCTTATCTCGGAAGCTCTGATGAGGTCTGATTAAAGTTATAAGTTTATATGAATGCAGATATTTGTATTACTGTACTTATATTCTCCCTCTAAACGTTGCTACATGCATCTTTGAAGTAATAATTATGTGATTAAGATTTGTGCCGGGAAGAGAGAAAAAATATAAACCACATAGGTGTTTCTTAAGAGGGAGCATGTCAATGTTTTTTAGACTATCAAAGAGGGAAAGTTTTCAAAGTGTAGTAGGACAGAAGAAGTACATTAGTAAGTGGTCATGACTGTGTGGGCAACAATGAACAAAGCTTCGCATGTACATCTTCTAGGCCCGATAATCTATTTCGTTTGCTTTGTATGCACTTCATGAATCATATACCATAAGGACTTGCCTTTATATACTTTTATTATAGTACCAAGACATTATAAATTTACAACCAGACTTTGAAACATGTATAATAAGTTTTAGAGATGCAACGGAATTTGGGCTCAATACACTGCCATAGCAATATGATGCACACAAATTCTCAGGAAGTAGTATATCCCACACAAGATATTTGGAGGGACCTTTAGGAACTCTAAGTCCTTATTAAAACTGTATTTAGAACTGTTCTGTGCTCAAAGATGGTGTTTTCCGGTGTGGTGTTTCCCATTTCAAATTTCTTGCTTTCCGCTTCCCCGCAAAATAATATATTGCAGAAGAGAGGATCCATCGTTTCCCCATCAACTTTCATGTCAGTAGACAGTAATATCCTATAATTGTGATGTGGAATGGTCAAACCGACTTTGAACTCCACAACTGCTCCCAAAGCGCTCCTTTATTTCCATGTAACTTCACAACCCTAAAAGGGAAGCTTGGTGCACATTGGCATCCCTGCAAGGCGAGGGTCTGGGAAGGGTCCCTCACAAGGGTGTATAAGGAGCAAGCCTTCCCTTGCCATTTTGACAAGAGGCCGCTCCCAAGACTTGAACCTGTGAGTCTGTGACCTCTGAGTTGCACATTTAAGACGCACAATGTAACTTTGTTAACAAAAGGTTATGACACAACAACCAATGTGAAGCATATACCAGTATACCTCCATCCCTTAAAGAAATTCCTAGTCTGAATCGCACCCACTTCATGGAAAAGAGATTTTCCTTTGACTTCCTGAAATGCCCTTTGTACTAAGGGTAAATGTTACTCGGAGTACACAGTTTTGATACCCTTTGACATTGTTTGATATTATATAGTCATTATTGTTTGAGGTTGATAGCAATTTATTTACAAAATAAGTAAAGAAGACTTTATTTAGGCACATCCAAAAGTCAAATAGTTCTTTAAGGGATGGAGGGAGTAGTATATAGAGTATTGTACTACAAGATGTCATCTACGACTATAAATGTGAGACATTTTTATGTGGCCTTTAGAGTCCTAACATCCCTTATTTTTTCTCAAACTTAAAATGTTTTGATCATGACGTGAAGCTTTTCTTCCCATTATTTAGATTTGTATTATTTCTGAAATTATTATACTTTTTTTATACTTGCTGAAGCATGCTGCTTTTTTAGGTTTGTGGTCTACTAGATAGCGCCGAGTCTACTTTTATCAAACATTTTTCGAATTCTAACAGAAGAAAGGGCATGAAAAAGTTGAGGCCAATGCCAAAACCCGAAAAGCATCGTGTGACATTTTTTTCAGGCAAGAAAAAGTGTTTCACACAGCATCGTCCTTTAACTTAATCAAAACACATGTGTAGTCTATCTTCAATGTTTCATATCTACTTTTCTATTTGTTCTTAATTTCCAGGTTTCTTTTCTGGATGCTCAATTGCTTTATTGGTTGCTGTCACTCTGCTAAGAGATACTAGAAAGTTGATGGAGGGTGATTCCTCTTATCTGGACAACATATTTCCACTTTATAGGTGAAGGAATACCTCAGTTTTGCATTTTTTTCATGCTGACCTTAAAAAGAAAAGAATGTTCTGTATTTATTACTATCCTAGAGAACTGACCAAACGACATTTCTACAGTTTCTATGCATATATTGTGCTGCATATGCTTCTATATGCTGCAAACTTATATTTCTGGAGGCGCTACAAAATCAACTATGCTTTTATATTTGGTTTCAAGCCAGGGACAGAATTGAGCTATCGGGAAGTCTTTCTCCTTAGCAACGGTCTAGCTATGCTTGTCCTTGGCACCTTTTTGGCTCATGTGCACATGAACATTGAATCACGAAGTGAAAAATATAACAGATATCTTGAGTTTATCCCGTTAGGATTGGTCGTTGTAAGATTCTATAGATCGCCAAATATCAATTACTTAATACTGCATGTTACAATTACTTCAAGAACTTGATTCTTGCAGGTTCTTTTTATACTACTGTTCTGTCCCTTCAACATTATCTATCGATCAAGTCGTTTCTTCCTCATTAGAACTGTTTGTCATTGTGTCTGTGCTCCTCTCTACAAAGTAAGCATATTTGGTTGGAAAAGAAAAATATACAGATTAGAAAAATATACAGATTGTCCATTTTATGTGATTCATTCTTTAACTTATCTGCAGGTCACTCTTCCAGACTTCTTTCTGGCAGACCAATTGACAAGCCAGGTCAATTATCCAGTTGGTGCTGGTCTGGTTAAGCTGTAATTTGTTGATCTGTTTTTTTTTCGTAATTTACAATTTTGGCACCAGGTAGAAGCTATAAGGACTTTGGAGTACTATGTCTGCTACTATGGATGGCACAATCCCAAAGAGAGACAAAACAAATGTCATGGTCACGACATGTATGATGTGTTTTATTTCATCCTTGCATTTTTCCCGTACTGGTTTCGGTTCCTCCAGGTCTGATCACGGTCACGCTATAACCAGTTGACTTCTAATTGCATTATGACTCCATTCAACTTAATAACTCGCATGTTGTCTATACTTATATCTGTCTTCATGTAGTGTATTCGCCGGCTGTTTGAAGAGAATGACATTGCACATTTGTATAATGGGTTAAGGTACTTCTTGACAATTGTGGCAGTAGCTGTTAGAACGGCTTTTGAACTGAAAGGGAGCTTAAGCTGGAAAGTCTTGGCTATACTAATGTCTGTTCTAGCAACCATATTGAACACATATTGGGATATCGTTGTAGACTGGGGTCTCCTGCGAAGGAAATCAAGAAATGTTTTTCTACGAAATAAACTCGTTGTTTCTCATGCAAGTGTTTATTTTACAGCTATGGTACTGTTAAATTTTTATGCTTGTGGGTTTTCAAGTTCTTTCTTAATTGATTGTTAATTATATATATGAATCTTTTACCACCTGCAGGTCTTGGATGTTGCGCTTAGATTTGCATGGCTCCAGGTCGTGCTAAAATTTAATGTGGCTTCTTTGCGCGGGAATAGAATATCAAGCATATTTTCCTGCCTGGAAATTCTTCGTCGTGGCATGTGGAACTTTTTCAGGTATATATAGTTGCAGTATCTTATTACATATAAGAATTTGGCTAACCATACCCGTTAGAGTAATGTTTAAGCATCAGTGAAAAAACACATTTTCCATGATTTTCCAAAGATTAACTAAATCATCAAAGAATTTGTTTCATGTGTAACATCCAACCACAAATAATTCATCAAAGGACTCGATTGATCATTAAAATAGTGAATGCTGAGAACTACTTAAAATACTGATATTATAAAGCCTAAATCTAACACTGAGACCTATGCTTAGCATTTGCCTACAAATAACAGTAAGCCTTTTTTATTCTAAGCAAAACCCACTCGAGAGCAGTAATCATTTGTCTTCTAAGGCCTACTTGTTTTGGACATAAACTTACTTCAGACATAGACAAGACCAAATTAAAACAGTCCATTAGAGAGCACATTTAAAATACACGATATTACTAGTACCAGACCAGAGTAGAACAAAACAGGGCAAACTTAAACAAATCAAACAACATCAGCAATGTTCAATCCAAGAGAACAAGGTCTAAGTGGAAAAGAAGCATAAATACACACACCAGATTACCGTTTTTTATTGGTTTCTCTCAGGTTGGAGAATGAGCACCTAAACAATGTTGGGAAGTATCGCGCTTTCAAGTCTGTGCCTCTTCCCTTTAGTTACCATGATGAGGATGGAGATAAGGATGAATAGTTTGTTTGCAATGTTCTTTTCGGGGGGGGGGGGGGGGGGGGGGGGGGGGGAGTCTAATCGCATAACTATGTCTTATGTTGGAAATAGTGGAGGTAAGCTAGCTCAAGTTTAAATGCAATGATGCCAATAAGGCTGGTATATAAATACAAATGCAGGTGTATATGAACCTTTTAGCAAAAGAACTAACTGTAAAATGCCCAATAAGGAGAGAAAATGGGATAGTTCAACAAAAAAACTGATCTGGGTAAAAACTTCACTATTTGTCCACCATCACTATATTATTTCTTAGTTACTAAGAAATAGAAACTAATAACCCACTTGTTGGTCGTGACAATCTTTCCCCAAATTTTCAATGAAAATTAAGCTTACATTCAATTAGAAACCACTATCCCTCATCCCCCATGGGATTCATTACTCATGGAAACCAATGAAAGGTGCAAGAGTTAAAAGTAAACTTTGGTCTCATTCCTCACAAGGTCATCAAGTATTGCTATGATGTAAATGCGACGTAATTGATACGGAGTATATTTCAAGAAAATTCTAGTTTCCCTAAATATGTCTATGTTTAAATATGTCTATGTTTGTTTTTAGTTGTTCATATGATAGAAAAGAAAAAAATCTCTGTCATAGTAAAGTGTCAAAAGATGAAAATAGCATTATTAAAAAGGTGCATTTTACACCAATTTCATCAAATTAAATACTCCGTATGTTGCAGTTCATGTTGGTATTACCGTTCAGTGTATTTCCCGCTGACATTACTTTTCTTCCCGCGTCAATGCCCTTCGCCAACGTTGATGGTCTTGCCATTGTTCATGCTGGTGTTACTACTCAATGTCATTAAACAATAAAAAGAAACAAAACGTAAAGTTAAAGAAACACATGGATACATTAGTTGTTGCCTTTGGTTTACCTAGAGGCTTCTTTAGAACTCCGGAGGCCCCGGGCGAAAAACACAAAAGACACAAAAAAAGATAAATTGAATAAAAATACACAATAAAAGAAAAAAGCATATTCAAGGAGTAGTGAACATCAAAATTTAGATGTACATACACAAAATGGACCAAAATTTACACTTCCTCTGTCCCAAGTAAATATTATCATTTGTCTCTTTTGGATATTTCATTTAAAAAGTTCTCATTTTATTTTACAATATATAGTTAACTCTTTTATGACAATATAGCCATCAACAACAACATCCCAGTCTTATTCCTAGAAAATTTTGATATTGAATTGATGATAAAGTAAGATTGATTTAAAGTCATACAAATTTTACTAAATTTGATATGAGACAATCTTAGTAGTATTTCTAAATTTGCTCTAGTAACATACTTACAAAAATATAAAAATAAAGCAGTCAACAAAAAGCTAAAGTTCCTAAATATAATATGTAATAATCAGTGAAAATAAAAAATTAAATAACTACGACCATCAAACTAATTAAACATTACTTCAATAATTCATTAATATGGTGGCTAGTTGGAGTAGTTGCTACGAGCCTACCATTTAATTAGAGCTAAAATCATTTTATCTATCTTTGGGCTACCAATATATCAAAAACAAGATACCTTTGTTTCCAAACTACTAAAATTAAAATAGATAATACTTTTTTTTTGTTTTACTCGCTTTTAAGCTTTAAAAAAATAATTGCTCGCCGTGAGATCGGAATTGCCCGATTAGGTCCTTAAATAGGTGAATTGGTATCGTGAGTCGCTCTTGGGCGGACAAGATCTGGTCTTATTCCGAACAGTGCCAAACCTAATTCTGAATCGGGTTGGATCGGGTCCACTGTTAGGGCTTCGGGCAGAAAAACGCGACGGAATAAACAAAAAAATACTGCCCAAAAGTAAACAATCGGATCTGAGGTTCTTACTATAAACAAAATTATAAGACATAAGAGGGACTTACATAATAATCTTAAGCAAGGATGTCAGACAGTCCGAGAAAACGATCCCGAGCTCTACCGGTATCCACACGCACGTGACTGGATCGGTCACAGTAAACGTGCTAGCGTTCTCTCCTTTCTATCTTTCTCTAGGTTTTGAGATGTGAATTTTAACTCTTAAAATTTGTGGGTGTCCTTAGCCCTATTTATAAGAGGAGGAAAGAAGAAGTTTTATAGCTAATAAAACTCTCCTGGAGGCCCTAGTCCAATACCATTCGAAAACCTATTTCCAATTGGGCTAATCGGGCTATTTTAATGTTATTAACGAACATTAATGATCCAAATCACTTAGGTGTGTGATCCTGTAGGTTTATATATCATTGGCAGTGGGCTAGAAAATTAATTCAAACCTCACAAATCATAAGTGGCCTCTAGCAAGACATTATGACTATCCAAAATATATAAATGTCAATTAAATCTGACATAACCAAGCTTTTAATGATTAATTTGTGCTAATAGTTTTCTTTTGTACAACGATATCTTAATTGAGATAAGATTAGGTCGTGTCATCATTGTTGTTCTCAATTAATATTTCTTGATTACTAAGTAAGATTAATCTTGAACAAATGACACATCATTTGAGCATGGCCATGCTAATTAATCTTACTTGTCAAGGGGCCCAATAAATATCTTTCTCTCGCTATACGAGAGTGACAAAAACTATTTTGATAATTCACAAATCACTACATGGTTCATAATATGTATAATCACCACCTTTATAATCACCCATTTAAAGATAACATTTAAAGTGTTAATACATATTAATTCACATGCAAGTAACCATGATTATCTCAAGTATAAGAATATAGCACCTCACCATTATTGAGGACAACACTGATGACATATAACCTAGCAGTGTCCTCAAGTTAGGTCTGTTCAATGAACTTTTTCACTAATAAGCATCTATGTTATTAACTTGATATCTCTATACCCAAGACTAGTGGAATATAGCCATCAGTTAATCCACATACCGGTCTATTAATTATTAATGTCCCAAATTAATAAAATTAGACCAGAGACAATTAGAATATTATGCTTATTTTAAAGTGTAGCATTCCACAATTAAGTCACGTACTTAATTAGCTACTAAACATAATATTCAGGGACTAAATATTAATAAAGAAAACTCACAATAATAATTAACATAAAATGAGTTTGTGACTTTATTAATTAATGAGCATTAAATATTCATTGATAAATCATAAACTATGATTGTCCGAGGTAGGGATGGACTAAACCGGCCCGGCCCGGAACCGGCCCGGCCCGTTACTGTTTGGGCCTGGACCGGACCGGGACCGGTTGGCCGGTTCCGAGCTTTTATCCCGTTTGGGCGGGTCGGACGGGCCGGGCTTGGGCCCAACTTTTGGTGAACCGGCCCGGGCGGTTCAGGCCGGGCCCGGTTCAATTTTTTTTTAATTTTTTTTTGCTTTTCTAGGTTAGGGTTGGGTGTTTGGGGGGGGATTTGGGGGGTGGGGTGAAGGGGGGGGGGTTGGGTGTTAATTAGAAACCAAAAAAAAATTGAACTTGACCCGGGCCCGGCCCGGCCCGGTTAGGCCCGAACCCGGTATCCACCCGGGTCGGTTCCGGGCCCAACATTTTGAAAAAAAAGCCCGCCCGGGCCCGGCCCGGAACCGGAACCGGACCGGCCCGAGTCCATCCCTAGTCCTAGGGCATACTTCCAACAGTCTCCCACTTGCACTAGGACCAATCATGAACAAAACGAATGCCTAATGCACTAGTATGTCGTTCATGCTTTGCTTGTGGAAGTGGCTTGGTGAGCGGGTCAGCCACATTTGCATTTGTCGGTACTTTGCATATCTTGATGTCACCTCTATGGATTATCTCTCGAATGAGATGATAGCGTTTGAGTACATGCTTTGATTTCTGGTGTGATCTAGGTTTCTTGGCTTGTGCAATGGCTCCATTGTTATCACAATGTAAGTCCATTGGTCTAACAATACTAGGAACGACACCGAGCTCAATGATGAATTTTCTTATCCATACCACTTCTTTTGCTGCTTCTGAAGCAGCAAATGTACTCACCTTCTATTGTAGAATCAGCCATTGTGTCTTGTTTAGAACTCTTCCAGCTCACTGCTCTGCCATTGAGGCAAAACACAGATCCTGACTGCGATCTAAAATCATCCTTATCGGATTGGAACCCAGCATCTGTGTAACCATTTACAATGAGCTGATCTTCACCACCATAGACCAAGAATACATCCTTAGTTCTTCTCAAGTACTTTAGAATATTCTTGACCGCTATCGAGTGACTATCACCTGGATCTGATTGGTATCTACCAGTCATGCTTAGGGCGCAAGCTACATCAAGGCGAATACATAACATATCATACATGATAGAACCTATACCAGAAGCATAAGGGACTCTATTCATTCAATCTCTCTCATCTTGTGTTTGTGGACACCGAGTCTTGCTGAGATGTGCGCCATGTGACATAGGCAAGAATCCTCTCTTGGGATTTTGCATATTGAACCTATGCAGGACCTTGTCAATGTAGTTACTTTGACTTAGTCCTATTAGTTTTCTAGATCTATCTCTATAGATCTTGATCCCTAACACATGATGCATCACCCAAGTCTTTCATTGAGAAACAGTTTCCAAGCCAAGCTTTTACAGACGAAAGCATTGGAACATCATTCCCAATGAGAAGTATGTCATCTACATATAGGACTAGGAAAGTGATTGCACTTCCACTCAATTTCTTGTAAACACAAGGTTTCTCTTCGTTTTGATTGAAACCAAACTCTTTGATTGCAGCATCAAAATGAAGATTCCAACTCCTAGATGCTTGCTTTAGACCGTATATCGATCTTTTAAGCTTGCATACCTTCCCAACATTGCTTGAATGTTCAAACCCCTCAAGTTGTATCATATACACGTCCTCATCTAGATTTTCATTTAGGAAAGCAGTTTTGACATCCATTTGCCAAATCTCATAATCAAAATGAGCGGCAATTGCTACGAGAATCCGAATTGATTTATGCATGGCAACTGGCAAGAATGTTTCATCATAGTCTATATCATGGATTTTTTTGTAACCTT